CTTTTCCCCAAAAGACTGATTATTTTTTCTATTGAACCGTCATGTCTATATCTTTTGTACATAGTTTAATTCTGAAGCATGATGGCTAAAATGATATCCTGATAAACTGGAAAATGATACATGACTAGGCATAGTAATTGATAATTGTGTGGCTCTAAGCATGACATAGAGTTACACCATTGCATTACCCTAAGTCTTAAATTCGAACTAGGTGTCTGATAATCTGGTATAGTGATGAGATGTCAAGTGAGTGTGAGGAAGATTTGAATAGTCCACTATTGGTACTGAGCTAGAACTTGCCTGGGTTAGTCCTGCTAAAAGTAAGCTGTAATAGACAATTAGGAAACGATCATAGACCCTTATTAAATATAGCCCATCTTTAGCCTAAATATAAGAAAACCAAATGAAATTTATCCTTCTTTGATCCAAATGATCTGAGCTTAAAATAGACCTTTCTTTTTCACCCCAACTGATCTTTTTTGGGAACAATGTGTTGGCCCTGGTCCCTCCTTGGACATGTGCACCTCAGCTTATGCCAAAAGCATAAGTTGAGGATGGCTTATGCTGTAAATAAACAACCTTCATTATGGCCCTGACCCAACTTTGGGTATTGTGTACCTTGACTCATGGCAAAGCCATGAGTTGAGGGTGGCTATTATGAGGAATGCTCTAGAAAGTGAGGTTGAAAGAACAAAGAGAGAGAAAGAACAAAAGTAAAGTGACTCAAGAATTAGTTGAAAGAAAAGTAAAGAAAAAGAAAAATATACAAGAAATACAAGCAAGAAAAGAAGAGAGTCACTTACACAAATGAAGAAAGAAGAGAAAATAGCAAGGTGAAAGATATGAGAAACTGACCAAGATAAAATGATAGAAAGTGGAAGGTTTATCCGATATGTCAAGGAGGGTAAAAAGTCACTAAAGTATACCTAAATATACCCTACCTGACCCTGAACCTATGTTACAAGCCAAGAAAGTCCTATCGTAATCCTAAGGGTTATATAGCGAAGTTAAGGTAGTGAAAATAAGGGCAAGCTTATGGCAATAGGTATGAATGAGTGTGACTTTGTTCTGAGAGCGAGTGTTGAAAATTAATCCTTATACTCAAACCGAAATCAATGTGTGAAAAATGAAGATTTTGTTTTAAAGTGAGGACACTAGTTGCAATACCAAAATTGTTAGCACCTCGGTGATAAATAAGAGGATAGGTGTTAGTGCATGGTGAGTCTGTGTCATGTTCCAATCCCACATAATTCAAGCCTAATAGTGATAGAATGCATAGATTTGATGAGATTAATCAGGATTGATAGCCAAATAATTGCAAAGGATAAAACATGGATACTATTGTACAAAGATTTTGTATTGAGTCATAGTGCGTCGCTTGAGGACAAACAACGAATTTAAGTTGAGGGTGTTGATATACCGTGGTTTCACAGTATTATTAATACTTTTTACTTAAGCTTAGTGTGTCCAAAAGCCTTTTTGTGCTAATTTTTATATAAGTTTCTTTTTATTCTGCAGGAAATCTGTCCAAAGCTGAATGCGGAGATTTTGAGCGAAGAAATGCAGAAGAGACCACCTACGGAGCTTATGATGGTCCATCATTGTTGTGATGGTCCGTAGGTGGCAGCATAGTGCAGTTGCTGAAGGAAGATGGGGAAGTCTGACCAAGTGTGGGGTTACGAAGCTTGTGACGGTCCGTCGTGTCTATGATGGTCCGTCCTGCAGGTTCATCATGAAATTCAGAGAAGTGATCCCAGTACCCATATTCCAAGAGTTGAAGTGTTTTGAAACGAAGGCCCTCGACGGACCTTTGTGCCTATGACGGTCCGTCATACTTGCTGTCGAGGTTAATGAAGAGAGCAGCAGAAGAAATTGTATAAGTATGGGACGAAGAAGTCCTTGACGGTCCGTCGTGACCACGACAATCCGTCGCGAGGTCCGTTGACCCAGCCGCTTTTTGACAAATTTCTAGGAAATAGAGTCCTTTTTAAAGTAGGTTTTTATTTTTTTAGAAATAGTTTGAAAAACCTCGTTTTTGAGGTTAGAGTCTATTAGGTTAGACTCTGAATTGTTAGACATCATATTATTAGACTCTTTGTATTAGTGTTAGACTTTTGATTATCATTGATTGTTGATGATTTGTGGTGATTAATCAAGCAAACTTTTGGATTTTACTCTTTCTCATTGAAGTAAGTACATGAATTCTTATTTAATATATTTGAATATTGTGATTATAACTATGAGTAACTAAACTCCATAACTAGGGTTGTGGGAACCATAGGCAAATAATGAGATAAAACCTAACTAAAATAAAATTTCTAGAATAGTGTCTTGTATGTATTAATAATTCTTTTGCTTAGAAGTCTTTTTAATGGATGGCCAACGTTAGAACTCGCCTTAATGCTACTTGCCGGACCAAGAAGGTAGATAATAGGAAAAGAATTATTAACATTGATTTAGTGTATACTATCTAATAGGCTAGTATTGATTGGTATGAGGTAATAACTTAGTTAAATATCGTATACAATGCTTAATATGAGGTAAAGATAAGGGTTAGGAAAGAAACACACGTAGCCAAACCAAGGTGCGGAGTGAGATTTTCTAGATGCCGGACCAAGGATTTAGGAATACATAACTTATCACTTTGCATGCAAGATACTAGGAAAGAATTGTTATAGATAGAATTATCAAGTTATGAACCTGTGGGGAACACGTAAACCCTAGTTACTTTGACTATTTGATTAAAATCCAACTTTCAAAGCTGTTAAGTGTCTCTTTTAATTTTGTTAGTTATTTTCACTCATTTAGAAATAGAAACCCCCCTTTTTATTGTTTTACTTTCCAAGGAAGTCATTGACCAAACAATAGTAATAATAGGTACCACTCAGGGATGTGTCGTTATGGCTCCACTAGTTGCTAAAAGTGTAGCCAGAACGATCATTTTATGTGAGAGAGTCCAAATAAGAAGTTGGGAAGTGGTATTGGGGGCAATAGAGAAAAGTCTTCTTCTGTTTCTCTACCAAGCAGAGCTGCATCTAGAGGATCTACTTAAGGGGAAGGTAGAGGAGGAAACCGTTTTTATTCTATCACTAGTCGGTAAGAGCAAAAGGATTCTCCAGATGTCACTTGTATGATAAAAGTTTTTTACTTTGTGTTTATGCTTTGCTAGATTCTTGAGTGAGTTTATCCTTTTTAACTCTGTATATTGCGATGAATTTTAATATTCTTCCTGGAAACACAGTGAGGCCTTCCGTGTTTCTACACCTGTTGGTGAGTCTATTCTAGTAGAGAGAGTCTATTGTAATTGTACCATTTTGGCCAATCACAAGAGCACCATGGTTAATTTAGTTGAGTTAGACATGGTATATTTTGATGTTATTCTTGGTATAGACTGACTTCATGCCCGTTATGCCTCAAGTTATTGTAAAACTCGAGTTGTCAAGTACAAGTTTCCAAATGAGCCAATCTTAGAGTGGAAAAGTAGTTCAGTAGTTCCTAAGGGTCATTTTATTTTGTACCTTAAGTCAAATAAGCTATTTTCCAAGGGGTGTGTATATCACTTAATCCGAATTAATGACTCTAGTGTTGAAATACCTCCTATTCAATCAGTGCCAGTTGTAAAAAAGTTTCCAGATGATCTTCTCGGAGTTCCTCTTGAGAGATAAGTAGACTTCGGTAAAGATATTCTTCTCGATGATCATCCTATATTTATTATGCCATATAGAATGGCACCAACATATTTAAAAAAGTTGAAGAAGTTGTTGAAAGATCTCCCAGAGAAATATTTTATTCGACCAAGTGTCTCACCTTGGGGTGCTTCAGTCTTATTTTTGAGAATGAATGATAGTTCCCTTAGGATATGCATAGATTATCGTCAGTTGAACTAGGTTACCATAACAAACAAGTATCCTCTTTGGAGAATAGATGATCTTTTCGATAAAATTTAGGGAGCCACTTGTTTCTCTAAGATATACCTCATATCTGGCTACCATCAATTAAGAATAAGGGAATGTAATATTCCAAAGACAGCTTTCAAAACTCGTTATGGTCACTATGAGTTTTTGGTCATGTCCCTCGATTAAACCAATGCGCCTGCAGCGTTCATAGACCTTATGAATAGAGTATTGAAGCCTTATAGAGATGTTTGTTATCGTGTTAATTGATGACATACTAATCTATCCGAGGAATGAGGAACATCATACTATTAATCTCACAATAGTTCTTCGATCTCTAAATGATAGAGAGTTGTAAGCCGAATTCTCTAGCTGTGAGTTTTGACATTATTACGCCACATTGTTTTCGGTGAGGGAACTAAAGTTGATACCCAGAAATTAGATGCAGTGTAGAATTGGCCTAGACCCACATCTCCAACCGAAATTCAGAGTTTGTTAGGTTTGGATGGTTATTATCAAAGGTTTGTAGTGGGGTTCTCATCTATTTCATCCCCTTTGACCAAGTTAACTCCGAAAGTAGTGAAGTTTAAGACCTTTCAAAAATTAGTATTGACATCACCAGAGGGTACGAAAGGCTTTGCTGCATATTGTGATGCGTCCATAGTTGGTTTATATTGTGTGTTAATGCAAAATGACAAGGTTATAGGTTTTGTCTCCAGTTGAAAGTTCGTGAGAAGATCTCCCAACCCATGATCTAGAGTTTTTTTTTGTTGAATAACCCTTGGATGGGTAGGGGCTGAGCAACACCCCCAGGCTTTATCATTAATAACAAAAACAAAATACAAGGAGGGGGGCATAAAACCTTACCTCCACACCTAAGGTGGTTTGGAATCAACTTCCAAAAAAGGATGTCGACTCCTCCCCGTACAATGACGATGAAATCCACTACTAATATCCTAGAGAGAGGACTCCTCTCATTACAAAAAATTATCTAGAAAACGTAAATTAGGGAGACTCTCCCTTTACAAGGGAGAATGTAAAACTACCTAGGCCCTATTCAAAGTAGCTATACTATTTGAGTATAGCCAAGTTGCAAAGGTAAATGCATCAAGGGGGTTCAAAAATCTTCTTAGTCTTCTTTCTTCTAAAACTCGGCATATTCATAAGGTCCATTCGATAGTAAGCTTGAGCTTCTTTGGGCATTTGATTGTTGTTGAAATACAATTGAGGACCTGTTGTACCATGGCTGTGTTTGGAGAGTGAATCTGCTGTCCAATTTGCTTCTCTAAAGATATGCTCGCATTTGAATTTATGAGCTCGCTGGATGAGTTGTTGGATTTTCTCAAGTTGATTTGAAACACTCCAGTGATGTGTTGTTTTCTTGGTTATCCATTGCACAACTATTTGAGAATCCACCTCAAGTATAATATTTCTATAGTCTAAATCTATCGCCCATGACAGTCCGAACTGTGCAGCCTCCATTTCTGCTTGGTTGTTTGATCCTTCGCCAAGGGATGTTGCAAATGCCAGCACTAGTCTGCCTTCTGTGTCCCTGAGTATACCTCCAGCTCCAATCTTCCCGGGGTTATTGATTGCGCTCCCATCTGTATTAATCTTAATCCACTCTTCCGGAGGTCTGTTCCATGCTACCTTGCACACTTTGATGTCATGTTTGCATTTTTCACTTGTTTGGTATAGCGCTGTCCAGTTTGAAGGCCATTTAATATGTGGGAATGTATTTTGCAGCATCTTGAAGGTGTCCTTGTAGATTGCATATTTGACTCTGCTAATGTTAGTTGCTTTTCCTCCATATTTGCAGGCACACCTATTCTTCCATAAGTTCCAACAAACGAAGGTTGGAGTGGCTTGTAGAAGGAGTTGATGTCCTGCATTTGTTGCTGTAGCAGACCACCACTGTCGCAGCCTCGCCTGCAGTGATGGTTGCTCCTCCTTCAGCCCTGCACTTGCTGAAAAGAAGCTCCACACTCTACCTGCAAATTGTCCTGAATTGAAGGTATGTTCTATGCTATCCAGCCCTGCTCTATCAACACAACAAAAACAAGGTGATGGCTCAATGCCAAAGTTAGCCAACTTTTCATTAGTTGGGAGTTTACCTTTTAAGGCCCTCCATAAAAGAAAAGAAGATTTAAACGGAATGGATTTATGCCATCTAGAGTTGGTTCCCTTAATATTTGATTTGAAAATATGACATCACTACCTTTATGATGTTCATGCAGATGTATTTACTGATCACAAGAGTCTTCAATATGTGTTTAGTAAGATAGAACTTAATCTCAGATAGAGGAGGTGGTTGGAATTACTCAAGGATATGATATATGTATTCTATATCATTTAGGTAAGGCTAATGTTGTTATTGATGCCTTGAGTAGATTATTTGTGGGTATTACTGCCCATGTTGAGGAACAGAAGAAAGAAATAGTAAAAGATGTGCATAGGTTGCATGGTAGGGAGTTTGCCTAATGGACTCCACTAAAGGAGTAGTCGTTGATACACCGTGGTTTCACGGTATTATTAATGTTTTTTCCTTAAGTTTAGTGTGTCCAAAAGCCTTTTTGTGCTAATTTTTATATAAGTTTCTCCTTATTTGCAGGAAATCTGTCCAAAGATGAATGCGGAGGTTTTTGAGCGAAAAAATGCAGAAGAGACCACCTACGGAGCTTGTGACGGTCCGTAGGTGGCAGCGTAGTGCAGCTGCTGAAGGAAGATGGGGAAGTTTTACAAAGTGTGGGGTTACAGAAAACGTGACGGACCATCGTAGCCATGACGGTCCGTCCTGCAGGTTCGTCATGAAGATCAGAGAAGTAGCCCAAGTACCCATATTCAAAGAGTTTAAGTGTTTTGGAACAGAAACCCTCGACGGACCGTTGTGCTCGCAACGATCCGTCAGACCTGCCGTCGAGGGTAATGAAGAGAGCAGCATAAGAAATTTTATCATGTATGGGACGATGGAGTCCATGACGGTCCGTCATGACCACGACGATCTGTCGCGATGTCCGTCGATCCAGCCGCGTTTTTGATAGATTTCTAGCAAATAGAGTCCTTGTTTAATTAGGCTTTTATTTGCTATAAATAGTTCGAAAAAAACCTCATTTTTGAGGTTAGACTAGGTATTATTAGGTTAGATTGTGTATTATTAGATTAGACTCTGGACCATTGTTAGAGTTTTGAATATTGTGAGACCCTTGATTATTTTGTAGACTCTTTGAAAGATTATTGATTATCTTGAAAATTTTATCAATGATTGTTGGTGACTTTTGCTGATTAATCAAGTGAACTTTCGGATTTTACTCTTTCTCATTGAAGTAAGTACATGAATTCTTATATCATATATTTGAATATTGTGATTATGACTATGGGTAACTAAACTCCATAACTAGGGTTGTGGGAACCATAGGCAAATAATGAGATAAAACCTATCTAAAATAACAATTCTAGAATAGTATCTTGCATGTATTGATAGTTCTTTTGCATAGAAGTCTATTTAACGGATGGCCAATGTTAGAACTCGCCTTAATGCTACTTGTCGGACCAAGGAGGTAGATAATAGGAAAAGAATTATCAACATAGATTTAGTATATACTATCAAATAGGCTAGTATTGATTTGTACGAGGTAATAACTTAGTCAAATATCCAAGACGATGCTTAATATGAGGTAAAGATAAGGGTTAGGATAGCAACACACGTAGCCGGACCAAGGTGCGGAGTGACATTTTCTAGATGTCGGACCAAAGATTTAGAAATACATAACTTATCACTTTGCATGCAAGATACTAGGAAAGAATTGTTATAGTTAGACTTATCAAGTTATGAACCTGTGGGGAACACGTAAACCCTAGTTACTTTGACTAATTGATTAAACTCCAACATTTTTTAACTGTTAATTGTCTCCTTTTATTTCGCTAGTTATTTTCATTTATTTAGGAATAGAAACCCCTTTTTGTAATTTTTGCTTTCCAAGGAAGTAATTGACTGAAAATAGTAGTAATAAATTGAAGTTAAGTCCAAACTATTTTCCTCGTGGGAACGATCCCAACCTCACAAGTTGGGTTATTTACTTGACAAGACCGCTTTACTTCTTATTTGAGAATTAAGTTTGAGCGTATCAAATTTTGGCGCCGCTACCAGGGAAAGTAACTTTTAGATTAACTTAAACTTATTACTATAGTTAGGTGATATTTTCTTGATTTAACTTGTTTTTATTGTTTTCGATTCGTACAGAACCACCCTCCTTGTATGCCAAATACACGGAGAGGAAGAGAAGCCTTGTTTCCCTAGGATCACAAATTAGAGCGTACACTATGCAACAGGAATCGAAACTTGGGAATCAATGATGAAGATCCAAACCAGAACATCCCAGCTGCGGTTGATGTTCATGGTCAGTTATTACCCGATGCTCCGGGTGAACACCAACAGAGGGGACAAAATCCAGCTCTACGGCCCTAAGCATACTACAGAGGCTATGACAACATAGCAGACTCTGACGGGCCACTTGTCTTGCCTCCTCTACCACCAGGCCACACCTTCGTGGTAACTAGTAGCCTGATGCAAATTCTCACTGCCAGAGGTTTCTTTTCAAGGCTACCTTCTGAGGATCCACATGCCCATATAGCTAAGGTAAGGGCAGTGTGTAAAAGTTGTGTAGGGAGGCTTGACTTGGACTTCGATGTAATAGGGCTTAGAGTGTTTCCTCTCTCACTGACCGGATAGGCTGCTATATGGTTCACTGAGCTCCCTTACAACTGAATTTTCACTTGGAACAAACTAAGAGATGTTTTCTTAGCACGCTACTATCCAGTCTCCAAGAAACTAAACCACAAAGACAGAGTGAACAACTTTGTGGCACTACCAGGAGAGTCAGTTAGTAGTTCTTGGGATAGATTCGCCTCGTTCTTGAGAAGTGTCACAAATCACCGTATAGATGATGAGTCACTGAAGGAATACTTCTATCAGGGACAGGATGATAATAATAAAGCGGTGTTGGACACTATAGCAGGCGGATCTTATGGAGAGTGTCCTTATGCTGAGATTGCTGAAAAATTAGAGAAAATCTCCCGGAATAATAAAGCTTGGACTACTAGGAACTCAGATACCGAGAGAAATACTTTCGCAGTTCAGTCCACTCACAACCCAGTCACAGAAGAGATTCCTGAAGAAATGGCTGAGATGAGAACTGAGGTTGGGTCGGTACTAAAGCATATCACTGGGGGTGCAGAAAAGATAAATGCAGTTAACTACTTGCCTAGACCACCACCTCCTAATGATGAATGCAATTATGCGGAGGACTCCTATGCAGTAAATGAGTAGATGGGGGGTTTCCCAACGAGCGCCCAAGGCTCAAATTAGGATAATTGGCGCCGAGGTCAAGGGAACCAAGGTCGGATCTATAGTAACTATAACCGTGAGGGTCATTATGTCCAAGATGGAAACTACAACCACGACAACAACTTCAACAGGGGTAACTACGGTAACAGAAATGATAGGAATGGGCCCTATGCCCCCCTCAAAATCGTGAAGTTACTCCTAGGGATGGTGGAGATAGTATGGAGCGAGTTGAGGATATGTTGCACAAAATGATGATGAGGTTCGATGCTAGTGATGAGCACATTAAAGAGTTAAGGTGTGATTTAGAAGGTATTGGGAAAAAACTTGTTACACATGCAATATCGATTAAGCAGATCGAGTTGCAAATGGCCCAATTATCTGCGACTGTGAACACACAACTACCGGGCACTCTTCCTAGCAACATTGTCCAAAATCCAAAAAATGATGCACACTGTATGGCAATCACTACTCGGGGTGGTAAGCAAACCATTGACCCACATATTCCGTCTAATGAGGACAAGGTGAGAAAGGATGATGATAAGGTGGTAAAGGGTAGTGGTGAAGCAGAAGAGAGCACTGGAAAAGATGCAGAAGTCCCTATGAAGGTAATTCCCATTCCTAGACCACCCCCACCCTTCCCTCAGAGATTAGTGAAAAAGACCGAGAATGGTAAATATCGGTGTTTTAAAACAACGCTGAAGAAGCTTTCTATCAATGCTCCTTTGTTAGAAGCTCTTGAACAAATGCCCTCTTATGCCAAGTTTATGAAAGATTTGGTTACAAAGAAAATATCGGTCACTTTCGAGGATGATGATAGATTGCAGCATTGTAGTGCTAATGCTACAAGATCTATCGTACAAAAGAAAGAAGATCCGGGTGCGTTCACTATTCCTTGTGCAGTCGGGTCATTACATTTTGCGAAAACATTATGTGATCTGGGGGAAAGAATAAATCTCATGCCCCTCTCGATTTACAAGAAGTTGAGTCCAAAAACCACTTCGATGCGGCTACTGATGGCTGATTGAACAGTGAAAAGGCCTATAGGGATACTCCATGATGTGCTAGTAAAAGTGGAGTCATTCATATTTCCGGCATATTTTGTTATTCTTCATTGTGAAGTCCATTTTCAAGTGCCTATTATTCTTGGGAGGCCATTCCTTGCTACAGGTAGAGCCTTAGTTGATATGGAAAAGGGGAAGATGAAATTTTGGTTGAACAATGAAGAAGCGACCTTCAACATTTGTAGGACCATGAGGCAGAGTGGTGAGTTCCAATCGGTATCCGCCATATCCCACAAATAAAAGATGAAGAAGGAGAATGAAGAAAAAAGTGCAAAACAAGATTTTATGGTAGGGGATTTGGTGCTTTTAGACAGATCTTGGTTGCTTTGTCTTCCGGGCAAGCACAAGTCCAAACAGACTGGCCCTTACTTGATCACCCAAGTATTCCCTCATGGAGCAGTTGAGTTTAAAACCAAGGAGGGAGTGCAGTTTAAGGTGACTATAGAACGAATAAAACTCTATTTTGGGAATACTACATGGGTGAATGAAGTGATAGAGGCATACCATCTTGATGAAGGCTGATTAATCAAGTGTCCTCAGTCGTGCCGCGACGTTAAATCAGGCGCTTGTTGGGAGGCAACCCAATACTTATATTTTTTATTTCTAGTAATGGTAGCATTTTCTACCAATGGGTTTTAAATTTGCAGGCACATCACCAGGAAATTATGCAGAAAATTACTCTGCAGCATTCACTGACAGATACAGCGACGGACCGTGTCAACAGTG